GACAAAGATTTGTCCTGACTGTGGGCAAAGCAGGAAAACTCTAGCTACACCAGCCCCTCTCCCTCCCTGCTGGCAGATTAGGATGTAACTCTCAGCTGCTTCTCCATCACCACCCTGCCCAAAGCCATGCTCCCTGCAATGATAATGAACTAAGCCTCTGAAACTGTCAAGTTCCCAATTAAATGGTTTCTTTTATAAGAGTTGCCTTGGTCATGCTGTTTACTCACACCAACAGGACAGTGGCTAAGACAGGCAGTCACTAAAAACTATGTTTTGAGCTGAATGCAGGAGAAGACAGCTATTGTCCAAATTACCGTGGACACAAAGCACAAGAATTACTCAAGTACAAAAGTTCAAGACCAGTATGGGCAACACGGCAAGAAGTTAATTTTTTTTCTATTTAAAAAATAAGCCAGGTGGTAGTGGCACATACCTTTAATCTAAGCACTGGGAAGGCAGAGGCAGGAAGACAGCCTGTGTTCAAGGCCAGCCTGGTATACAGAGTTCCAGGGCTACACAGAGGAGAAAAAAAAAATTAAAGACTATGCTTTGGATAAATTTATTTATTTATTTGTTTGTTTATTTATTTATTGTAGCGCTAGGAGTTGAACCTAGGGCCTCACACATGCTAGACAAATGTTCTACTATTGATCTATATATATTCTCAGGCCTCTTTTTACTTTTCTTATTTTGAGACAGAGCATCATTAAGTTTCCCAAGCTGGTCTTAAAATCACTCAAGTAGAGGGAGGCCTTGAACTTCCAATTCTTCTGCTTTGGCCACCCAAGATGCTGAAGTCAAGATTTTACATAATATTTAAGGGAGGTTTTTTTTTTGTTTTGACTTTTAAAGTTACAATGCTAAAAAAGAAAATGAGACACAAACTAAAAATAATTGATATACCCATCCAAATAGAATGGGAATAGAATGAGAATTAAGGAGGGCAAAGGATTGTAAGTGATTCTCTATTTTACACATTCCTTTGTTATGCACTCACTGCTTTTACATTTTCCAAATATAATATAATATATGCATTTTTTCAGAATGGGGGATACTATCATCTCATACAAAAGTAAATCTTGTCTTCCCTCTATACTTATCCAGCTTACAAACTATCTCTTTTCATCATGTAAGGAGATTGAATGTACAGTTGGGAAATTCTGATAAATAAAAACACAGCAGAGTATCTCAACTATCAGCTTTACTTTATGTATTCAATTTACATCAGTCTCATTTATTGTACTGTAAGTGACTTGTATTTCACTAATTAGTATCTCATCCCGTACGTCTTGCCTTCCTTTCTCCATAATGAGAGCCTTTGAGTTTAATGAGACATGAGTTTAAGAAAGTTGTAGTTTGTTCACAAACAGACCTGTCTTAAATAAGAGAATATATTCTAAAAGAATACAGAAAATAGGGATAGATAAGGTTTGATGTGTTATGGGAAAACGTGAAAAGATTGGCTTTTTCAAATAAACAATTGTTGGGCAGTGGTGGCGCACGCCTTTAATCCCAGCACTCAGGAGGCAGAAGCAGGTGGATCTCTGTGAGTTCGAGGCCAACCTGGTCTACAAAGCAAGTTCCAGGACAGTCAAAGCTGTCACACAAAGAAACTCTGTCTTGAAAAACAAAAAGCAAAACAATTAATAACACTATAAACATGTCATATATATGAACCCAAAACTTCTACCTTAATATTCAATTTTAATCAGGTAATCTTTGTGTATCACAGGGTTTCACTGTGTAGGTTAGCCTTGAACTTACTATGTAGACTAAGCTGGCCTTGAACTTACATCATCCTATATCAGACTCTTAAATGCCCCGCTTTTAAATGATTTGAAAGAGCTAAAGTACTGGGACTTGCTGATAGAGTACTCACCTAACACACACACACACACACACACACACACACACACACACACACACACACACACACACACAAAACTCTGGGCTTGATGCCTCGCACTACAGAAAACTGGGTGTGGTGGCGCATGCCTGTAATCCCAGCACTAGGGAGGTAGAGACAGGAGCATCAGAAGAAGTTCACTGGGCATGGTAGTGCATGTCTTTAGTCTAGGCCTTCCAGAGACAGAGGCAGGCAGATAGATCTCTATGAGTTGTTGGACATCCTGGTCTACAGAGCCAGTTCCAGGACAGCCAGATCTACATAGTAAGACCCTGTCTGGCAGGGGCGGAGGGGACAAAAAAAAAAAATACACTCTTTCCTTAAGATTATGTCACCTAAAAGATGATGTCAAGCATTCTATATGACATATACTTGTAATCCCAGCACTCAAAGAAAGGATTGTGAACTCAAATCCAATCTGGGATACTTAGCAAATCCTTTCTAAAAAATATGTGTACGATATGATTAAGGATAAGGTAGATACTGAAGTCTCATGGAAATACCAAGGATATGTCACCAAAACAGACAAAATTTATAGAAAATAAAACCAATTACCTTTAACATGCACCTCCATATCATAAAAACTACAATAACTGATAACTGAAGACATCCTGGCTATCAGCAGAAAACAGAATGGTTAAATTATGGCAACAATACCCACTAAGTATAATGCAGCAATTAAAAAGAATACAGTATTCTGGAGACACCTCATTAAGGCTGAGCCAGGGGCTGAGCAGCATTCGGCCCTTGTTCTAGAACAGGCAAAGGTATACCTCTCTACAACCCTCCAAAACTTCCTGCAGTCCTTTCCTACTGCAATATTCATCTTGCCTGTTTCAGGGCTCTCCACTGTTAGTTCACTAACTTGTATTTGCTGTAATATTTTTAAACATGTTTTATACATGATCCGTCTTCTCTGTCACTGTCCCGCAGAATCCACAGTGCCGACCCACAAAAAGCTCATTTTCATCTTCAACACTGGGAAGGCACTGTACCATGTCACACAGAGCACTATGCTCCCTACACCACTTAGACAGAACCTGGAGACATTGATTGACCAGGATATCCACACAAAAAGTGACTCTCAGTTTCATCTGGAGATGCTGATCTTCCGGATGAGCATATTTTTTTGAGAACATGGATCATGACCTAAAGCTCTTAACATGGTTCCATACATAAGACAGACACATGAAAGATATGTGTAGATGGCTAACGATGAGTAAAATATGAAAGATCAAGACATGAAATTTTAGGGATAGAGAGACTAAAACGCCCATTAAATGAAAAAACTGGGGGCATAATACAGTTGTCCAAGTCAACACTGTTTCACAACACCACCAACACCAGCTCTTCCATATAGTCTAGTAACAAAAATTTCCAATATCTGCTTTCTCATGATTTTTCTCTTAATGGCTCAAATATGTAAATGGAAGCTTGAAAACTCACGTGTAAATATTCATCCCCTATGGTTTCAGTAGTACTTACTGGCTGGCTGGCACTGACAATATCAATGTGCTTAGGAAGGCCACAGTCGACATCTGCAACTCTAAAGCTGTCTTCTTACTAGAAAATATAATAAAATGCAATGTTAAATATACTTAAAAGGCACATTCATATCAAATTACAATCTTTTGGGGGGGCATGGGGTATCACTATATAGCCCCAAAACTTATTCTAGGCTGGCCTGGAATTCAGAGATCCATCTGCCTCTGTCTCCCAAGTGCTGGGATTAAAGGCATGTGTGTGCCACCATGCCCAGCATTCAATTATAATTTTAAATGAATAAAAATCCAAAATAAGAACAGGGTGGTGGTGGTGAATACCTTTAATCCCAGCACTTGGGAGGCAGAGGCAGGCAGATCTCTGAGTTTGAGGCCAGCCTGGGCTACAGAGTGAGATCCAGGACAGCCAGAACTGTTACACAGAGAAACCAGGACCCCCACTCCGGAAAAAAATCCAAAAGAGATCGAACATTTAGAAGTACATGATATTGTCAATAGAAAGCTATAGAAAACATAAAGACCTCATTTGACACCACTAAGTAGAATTCTAAGTAGAATACTCTCACAGATTATCAGTGATGAAGAGCAAACAGCAGTCAGGGATTCACTCTGCTTGTTTTAGTTGAGCTGAAATAGTCCTTGGATCAGGTAATGGTCTTGACTGCCCTTTCCCCATCCCTAATCCAAGGACTTAGGTTCCCTTCTCTGGTTGCTCAACTATCCTAGCTCTAGCTGGCCACTGTCCAGCCTGCCCCCATGCCTAACCATGACTATTGTCTTTACTTACATTAGTCAAGACATTGAAAACAAAATGAGAAAAAAAAATCATTTTTTTTAATGTGTGGCAGTTTTTACTTTAAAAAATTAATTTTGCCTTTAGTTTCATTTTTATGTGTGTATTTTTCCTGCATGTATGTCTGTCTACCACACGACTGCCTAGTGCCCACAGAGACTAGAAGAGGGCATCAGATCCCCTGAAACTGGAGTTACAGATTATTGTGAGCTGCTGTGTGAGTGCTATAAACAGAACCTAGGTCCTCTGCAAGGTAAATTAAAAAAAAAAAAAAAAAAAAAAAAAACCTAAAAGAAAAATTCACTAATCGATACTAAAACCCATTGTTAGGTGAAAGGTTGATAGAACTTGACCTTGTACAGCCAGGTGTGGTGGTCCACGCCTCTAATCACAGCACACAAGAGACTAAGGCTGAGTGCCAATGTCTGAGATCAGCTTGAGTTCGTAGCAAGTTTAGACCAGCCTGGGCTACAGGGTGAGACGATCTCAAATCTTTATCCACAAAAAGGGAGGAGAGGTGTTAAAATGACAGAATGATGCATTTCATTTTAGGCACTATTTACCATAACATTCTTTCAAGTGGCTCAGTGGTAGTGTACCTAGCATGTACAAGGCCTGTGTTTGATCTCCATTACCACAAAACTCAAAAAACTTAGGAGTACCAGGGTTTCGAATAGAAAATATCCCCCACGGGCTCACATGTTGAAAAGCTGGTCCCCAGCTGGTGCTATTTTGGGAAAGTGGTAGACACTTTAGGAAGCAGGTTACTGGAGACATGTCCTATGAAGGTATCTTGTCTCTAGGCGCCTCTCCATCTCTTTCTGCCTCCTGATTGATATGAAGTGAGCAACTATGTTCGGCCCCATACTGTAGCCACCTTATGCCAGGTCTCATCGTAGCCCACAGCAACTGGGCCAGCTAAAACCTTGGAAACCACAAGCCAAACATAATAAATCCTTCCTCCCTATTCACAATGGTCCTCTGGAAGCCAGACACGACACAGTACATCTGTAATGCAGGTGCTCAGAGACAGAGGCAAGAAAGAGGATCCCTGCAAGTTTGAAGCCAAAATGCTCAAAAAAAAAAAAAAAAAAGAGTCCTAGACAGGCCAGGGGGCTACACAGTCAGACCCTATCTCCAGAAACTTGTATTAAAGAGAGCTCTTCCACGCTGAGGGGAGGAAAGCAGTGGCCCACGGCCTCCTCCAGAGTGCCGACTGCTCTCACCTGACTTCATCTCCTCACATGAGGCACTGTGCGAGCCTCTATGACAAGAAGTAGTCCAGTGTGAGCCTCCAATCGTCTGTGTGCATGAGTGTTTTGCCTGTATGTATGTCTGTGTACCACATGAGTGTCTGATGCCCACAGAGACCCAAAGAGGGCCCTGGATCTCCCGGAACTGGAGTCACAGATGGTTATAAGCCGCTGTGTGGGTGCTGGTAATTGAACCTAGGTCCTCTGGAAGAGTAGCCAATATTCTTAACCACTGAGCCATCTTTCCAGCCCCAACACTATAATTTGAAAGGCCAATTCATATAGCTTTTTCCTCTTTTTTTTTCAAGACAAGGTTTCTCTGTGTAATCCTGACCATCCTGGAACTCTCTCTGTAGACCAGGCTGGCCTCATATACCTTTTATTCCAGTATATTGTTTAGAATAGTTCTACCATTTTCTATTTTATTATTCACTGTTGTTGTTCATCTCTTGCTGTGCCTAATTCATAAATTGCACTTTACTGTAGGTATTTCTATATACAGGAAAAACATGCTAGGAAGTATTCTACCAGAGCCAGACCTCCAGTCCAAGTCTTTTTTTCTTGAACAGTATATATTATTTCTACATGGGCATCTGTATTTATACTTCCACTCGGGCCTTTGTTTGTGTATTTATTTGCAGTGGTACTGAGGACTGAACCTGAAACTTAGATGTGTACTCTTGGGCCCTCTCCTTCTCCCTCTCTGACAATGTTTCATGTAGTTCAGGCTGGCCTAAAACTTGCTACGGAGCAGACAGGCTCTTCCTGCCTCCACCTCCCAAGTGCTAGAAGGGATTCCACACGCATGTCATAATGCCCTGCCTCCGGTCAAATTCCTAACGCACTACATTGGAATAGTTTATGTTTCACAATGCATTGTTTACACCTCTGCCCTCAAGAATATTCTCAATCTCATAAAGTACTTCCACTCCCCCATGGCTCAAGCCTTCTATTTAGCAAAAATAATCCTTGATTTCTTTTTTCTTTTTTTCTTTTTAAACAGGGTTTCTTTGTGTAGCCATGGCTGTCCCAGAACTAGCCCTGCAGACCAGGCTGGCCTCCACCTCCAGAGTGCTGGGACTAAAGGCCTGTGCGGCACCACCCTGCGAGTCCTCACTTTCATGGACTGTGATCCTTTCGAAGCCGTCATCTAACCTCTCCCATATGGATGTATTCTGATTTCTTCCACCTCCATCTCCACTATCGCCTCAAACCACATCTCCAACTTCTTGCTTTCTCCTGTCCTTCTTTTAAAATTTTTTTGCTTTTTGTTTATTTCAAATGTACATATGATGCATGGATGTGGGCGTATGCATTCCATGATGTACAATCTTACAGCAATCTATTCTCTTTTCCCATCATATAAGATCTGGGTACTAAACTCAAGTCATCAGCCTCGACAGAAGTGCCTTTACCCCCTAAACCATCTTGCTGGTCCCTTTCTTCTTATTCATCCATTATTTATTCCCTAATTAGACTTTGAGATGATATTTTATATACAACAAAACATCAGAAGAGTGCTTTGTGCATGGGACCCTTTTAATAAACATAACACACACACAGGTTGGTACGAGCTGCAGTTTCCCCAGTGCATGATGGGATTGCTCCACTTGTTTCTTTGGCTGGCACTCAGTTTCATCCACAGACTTCTCTTCTGCTCACATGTCTCATGCCACTGTCCCTCCTGGGTTGTGTCACACCACCAGCCTTCTGTTCTACCACTCACTCTGTCTAGGGTCATCCAAGCTCACAGCTTCAACAGCTATAAGTGACTCTATTAAGGAATTCTCCCTCAAATGCTACCGGTAATTGCCACGGGAATATCCCATGGGTACTTCAGTGGAAAAGATTTTTCACAATTCTATGGCTTTCACCATCAAGTTCCACTTCTTTGGTGATGCATCCAAGGACTTTGATGACCTGGTCCCTCACCTTAACAGGGTGTCCTCTTCCCCCAGTTCACATATTCTCTATTCCATCTGTATCTGCAAACTTGCTTCTATCAGGAGGTGAGCCAGTACCACGTACTTCAGACATGCTCAACCCAGAGGTCCCTCTACATCACCCCACCAAAGCAATACTTCCTAGCTCAATTAACTTTCTTTCAGAAAAGTCACCCACTCTGATTTCAACTCAACTCCCACTGCATCCTCGGCACACCTTTACCTTGACACTTTTGTATTTACTTTAGACTATTATTATGAAAGCAAACATGTTATTTAGCAAACAAAAACTCCATAAATATCCTATATGCTAATATAAGCCAAAAACACTGCTAGTTCCTTTAAAACAGTAGACTTACCATTTCAGCACCTGGAATACTCAGGTCCATAATACAGAGCATCTCTTTCCGACAAATAAAGCACCTACAAAAACAAAATCACAATTCATAATGAGTCAAGGAACTAAGAATGGCAATGGACATTCTTTACATCTGCCCAGAACTCCTTCCTCATCCCTTACTCTATGGGGGTCAGCTTCCTGTGAAAACACAGGCTATATAAGTGTCACCAAATCACACAGAGCACCACTAACATGAGCCTCTAAGTAAACAAGCCTGTGCTGATAGGAACCAGGCCCATCCTTAGCACAAGGAGAAATGAAGCCCACAGCCATTTTAAGTACAAGTCCCCACCCTTATGGCCACCTTCATCATACAATTTCTATTATATTGTCATATGAGCCAATAACACCCACCCCTACAGGCCACTTCCAGAATCTGAACTCCAAAAATGCCTAACGAATAACAAAAAACCGAATAGATGTCAAAGAATATTTTACATTCAGGCTTAGAAAATTTTCATCTATCAGAAACAATGTCTCTGTTCTTTCTCTACTAAGTGAGCTCCCAAATTTCTATTTCATTGCTTTTTTATTATATTTCAATGCAACTCAGATCCTATTTTTTAGACATTTTATTATACCTTAAACCAGTACATGGTGAACGACAAATAAACAAGTAATTACAGTGTGGTGGAGAGACCGCGGAGTACTAAGGAAACACGGGCTTGTTACCCAGTCTGTGTCAAAGAGATCCTTAGTAGACTATCGCCCACACTGAGACAGGGCAGACAAGGCTGACTTAGCCAGCGAAAGTGAGGGAAGCAGGGAAGTAAGGAGGCATTCATGACAGACACAGGCTTCTGTAACAATGCCTAGATTTAAAGAATTCAGCGTGTTGAAGGAAAAGTGAGAGTCAGCCTCGCTCACTGAGGGGAAGGGAAGGCACAGGAGGAGGAAGTGATTCTGAAGTCAAATCCTAAGGATCCTGAAAGCCAAATCTAGCTCACGGAGCAATGAAGGGGAAAAGTAAAAAATCCCACAACCAGCAAGGCAGTGGTGGCGCACACCTCTATTCTCAGCCCTCGGGAGGCAGAGGCAGGCGGATCTCTGTGAGTTCGAGGCCAGCCTGGTCTACAGAGTGAGTTCCAGGACAGCCAGGGCTACATAGAGAAACCCTGTCTCGAAAAAAACAAAAACAAAAAACAAACAAAAAAATCCCACAACCAAGTTACCTGCTCAGCTCAAATGTGTCAGAACGACAACTCTGGCTACAGTGAAAACACAAAAACCAACGGCGGCCAATGAAGAAGCCATTACAGCACCCAGGCTGAGATGATGCTAACTGGAGAACACACGACAGCATTAAGGATAAGTAAATATATCCAAGAGACTATCGGAGAAGTAGTCTAATGAGGCTCAGCGATGGATCACAAGTAAAATGAAAAGGAATGCAAGGAAGAGCTTCTACTTCTGCCAAGGAGTGTACACACCTATGCACTACCTAGTCTAATCTCCCCAGAGAGATGAGATGGAAAAGGGACAGTCCCATGTACTTTTTTGGTCTGAAGATGATGGGACAGCTGCTGATGACTGCAGCTTTGGGACATGCAGAGTATGAATCACCTGAAAGAATAGCCAATGGGCATGTCACTAAGCCAGATGTCCAGGTACCAGGAAAGAGCTCTGGGCTAAAGAGTTACACAATTATCAGCACATGCAAGGTAAACGCAGAAAATCCTGGCCAGATGGTGGTGGAGCACGTCTTTAATCCCAGCACTTGAGAGGCAGAGGCAGGAGAATCTCTATGAGTTTGAGGTCAGTCTGGTCTACAAAGTGAGTTCCAGGACAGCCAGGGCTGCTACACAGAGAAACCCTGTCTGGGGAATTAAAAAAAAAAAAGTATCTGTCATTCATACTGAAAGTTATTTAATACCCACATTCTTTTAGGGCAGTGGTTCTCAACCTGTAGGTCGCATATAAAATACCCTACATATTAGATATTTACATTAAAATTCATAACAGCAGCAAAATTACAGTTATGAAGTAGCAACAAAATAACTTTATGCGCCGGGCAGTGGTGGCGCATGCCTGTAATCCCAGCACTCGGGAGGCAGAGGCAGGTGGATCTCTGTGAGTTCCAGGCCAGCCTGGTCTACAGAGCTAGTTCAGGATAGGCTCCAAAGCTACAAAGAAACCCTGTCTCAAAAGAAAATAAAAAATAAAAAATAAAAATTATGCTTGGAGCGGGGCGGGTCACCATAACATAAATACTGTATTAAAGGGTCACAGCATTAGGAAGGTTGAGAACCACTGATCTAGGGTGTTGGGAATGGTAGTAAGCCCAAAATACTAAGATTCAATGCCAGCCTCCAGCACTTCCTGGTCTACAGAGGACTGTTACTCAGTACAGCAGTGTAGGGAGGAATGACGATAACTTGACCGTAAACACCATCTACATCCCAAAGCTGTGTCAGCAGAATGTGCGGGGAGGGGGAGGGACACGGGACACGACATGGAGAGATGAACGGTTAGTGCTGCTGTTTGGGGTTTTTGTTTTGTTTTGAGATAGGATCTCACTATACATCCCTAGCTAACCTCAAAATCACTATGCAAGCCAGGCTGGCCTTGAACTTGCAGTAACCCCCTGCCTCTGTCTCCCCAGTTCTAGGATAACAGACTGAGAGACCTTGCCCATCTAGAAGAGGAATTTTCAGTGCCCACTTTGAAATAACAGCAAAAAACCAAGTACTATTCATAACAATCTCCCAAACTCATTCCTCAATTTAATTAACAGAAAGCACTTATTAAATATCCTATTTAAAAGATACGGATTGGGGATCAGGCACAGTGGTGCATGTCTTTAATCCTAGCACATGGGAGGCAGAGGCAGGGGAATCTTTGTGAGCTGGAGGCCACCTGGACAGCTGAGTTCCAGGACAGCCAGGGCTATATAGCAAGACACTGTCTCAAAAAATAATAAAAATAAAATTTGATTTTATTACCTTTCTCCCTCAAGCCCTCTGCACATTCTTCTCTTTTTTAAATGTATACAGATGTCTTGCCTGTGTGTGTGTCTGTACACCACATGTATACTTGGTACCTATGGAGGCGAAAGGAGGATGTCAGGTCTCCTGAGACTAGAGTTACAGACTGCTGAGCAGCCATGTGGGTGCTGGGAATCAAACCCAGGTCCTCTGGAAGAGGAGCCAGTGCTCTTAACTGTTGAGCCATCTCTCCAACATCCTTTTCTGGCTTTTTGAGGTAGGATTTCTAGCTCAGACTGGCCTGGAACTCATTATGTAGCCCAGGCTAACCCTGAACTTATTTGTGGCAGTCTTCCTGCCTCAGCTTCCCAAGTCCTGAGATGACCCTTGAGAACCACCACTCTTGGCTTGTTCTGGTTTAGAAGTCCTGTTTTTAATTACATTTAAGTTCTGAAAGAATTCTTTCTAGACTTTAGACTTCTCACTGTGGTTCTTTTATCATCTATTGGGACTTTGGTAGGTACACATTTAATACGAGGCAGCTTTAACAAGAACAAGACCCAAGACACATCCTCAGCCACATACTAAATTCAAGGTCAGTCTGGGCTACATGACACTGTGCCAAAAAAATAAAAGGGTAGAAACCGACAAGCCATACTTAAAACAATGACCTGTCGACCACCAGCCTAGGAAGTTTTAGTGAACCAGGCACACACTAACCAGCTTCAGTAGGAGCAACAATGTGGAATTTCTGACTAAGTTATTCATTGATTAGTAGTCATAAAAATCCAGCTGACTCATCAATTTAGTGTCCCAAAGAAATCAATGAAGTACTCTTTTAATTTGTTAAGTTCCGTGTGTTCAGATAGAATCGATTAGATTAACTGCAGTCTAGGTGTACTAATTCATCGCTAGAAGGCAATGAGCTCTGAGCTCTGGGACAAGGAGGAAAGTCCTCCCAGCGTTCGTAAGGCCTTCCTTCTAACCACTGCAAAACCTACCCTAGGCCGAAGACCTCCATGAGGACAGGCAGGAGGATACAACTAAATCCAATAACCAAAATCCTTAACCATTTTAAAAATATGTATCTTTTTTGTTTGTTTGTTTTGTTTTGTTTTTTCAAGACAGGGTTTCTCTGTGTAGCTTTGCACCTTTCCTGGATCTCGCCCTGTAACCCAGGCTGGCCTCAAATGTACAAAGATCCGCCTGCCTCTGCCTCCTGAGTGCTGGGATTAAAGGCGTGCGCCACCATTGCCTGGCATATGTACCCTTATACATGGGAAATTAAAGTGTCAGAGGGAAAAATGTCCAGGTGAGGCTCCAATACATTTTATTTCATCCACATAAGACATATTTGTACATGTTGGCAGTTGATCCTACAATCCATGACATGGCCATTTACTTGGGATAATTTATTATACTGGCACATAAAATAGTAAGAATGTCTTATAACTGATGGGTTGAATGGATTTTTGAAAATGTAGTTATTTTCTGGGTATCAAAGATTTAGGCCAGACATGGTGGGGTTCACCTTCAATCCTAGCTTGGAAAGTCGAGGTAGGTAGATTCCTATATGCGTTTGAGGCCAGCATGGTCTACACAGCAAGTTCTGAACAGCAAGGCTAGCTACACAGTGAGACCCTATCTCAGACAAAAAGCAAATGAAGTCCTAGTTTCAATGGAAATGTGTTAAGAGAAAGGTTAGAATCATAAAAATCTAAGTTCCCCTGAATCCTCATGTATACCTTGCTTGGGTGACATTTAGCAATTTGAATATTTCCTAGTCTCTTCTTACCTGTAATCAGAACTAAAAACAATGCATGCAAATTTCCACAGTGAGGTGAATTAAACACAAATACTATCCATAAAGTCCTTAGAACAGTACCTGGCATCAGTAGGTGTGGTTTTATGACCATGAAGATGAAGACAATCAAGGAAATAATGTTTTACTCTGCCTAGCATAGGGAGTACCAAGAGGGTTCGATCTCAATTGCTACATAAACTATTTTCGACAGAATTTAACAACCAGATGTTGAGATTCACTGCTTGACCTGACAGGTGGCTTCTCCCCAAACTTACATCATTTTGCATATGAAAGGCTGAAGGGAAATAAAAAAAAAAAAGGCACGTCTTTCCTACAAATCAAGCTGACTAGTAAACTGCTCTGCTGGGTAAGGTTGCCCATACCTTTAAGTACTTGAGAAGAAGAGGCAGGTGACCTCTGCGTGGAGGCCAACCTGTAGGAAGTTCCAGGCCAGCCGAGGCTATATACGGCGACCCTATCTCAAAAAAAATAAAATGAAGCTTCCTTTGGATATCAAAAGGCAAGGATAACCAGGATTAATAATGCAGGTTTAAAAAGATTTTTTTTTTTTTTTTTGGTTTTTCGAGACAGGGTTTCTCTGCGTAGCTTTGCGCCTTTTCTGGAGCTCACTTGGTAGCCCAGGCTGGCCTCGAACTCACAGAGATCCGCCTGGCTCTGCCTCCCGAGTGCTGGGACTAAAGGCGTGCGCCACCACCGCCCGGCTTAAAAAGATTTTTTTAAAACACACATCTACAATGATAGTCGTTAGCCTCTAACTGTGTACAAGATGCACACCTTTACCACAACATGCTGTGTTCCTATGAAGTTCAGTACTGTGCTGCCACTGTTTCCCCCTCACGGCGACTAAAGCCAACAGGTGCACAGACCCGCTGGGTACTGTATGCTGATTTGCAGGAAAGGCAGGTCTATTAAGCCTTTTCAGGTTGGGTTGCTTTGTTGTTGTTGTTGTTTGTTTGTTTTCTCCTCGTTAACTAAATCGCGGTCTCTCTGCAGAGAAGCAGCAGCCATTTCTTTCTCATTCTTCCCACCTTCGCCACCACGGTAGCCCCCATCCTCACAGAACATTTAAATAATGCGTTGGCATAGTAACCGAAAATGGACTTCATTTCTGACCTTTAAGAACAACAACAACAACAAAGATCGGCTGAAGGAAAACCATACCACGCCTGTCAAGGCACAAAACGCATGTTCCTATTTCTTAAAATACGTAAGAATTATCTCTGCGAAAACTGAACCACAGGAGTTCAAAGGAGTTGCGGTCGAGAGCTAATCTGAAAGACAACAGTGGAAGTGGTCTTTTTTTTTTAAGGGCTGAAAAGGGGGACATTGTTATCAAAGGACAACGTACTGAAATAAATAAATAAGTGAAAACGGAGAGGCAGCGACAAATAGTCATTGTTTTCTAAAAGGCCAGGTTATCTCCGGGATTTTCTCCACGGAGCTCAACCAATCCCCACCTTTTCTGAGTTAACCAGTCTCCAGGCAAGCCGCGCTTCCTGATTGGCTCGGAGGTATCGAGTAGAAAAGGCAGCCAATCCTTCCCCAAGTCAGAACTGTGCTATGGAGACATTACAACCACTGCATGGCAAGAATGTGTACAAACCTGTCGGTGCAGCAAATCTCAGCTGCTACCCCTAAAGACAGTTGCGGAAGGGATCTCTAAAGCCAGCGGCCCCCCGCCCCCAGCTCAGACGTGGCTTCGACTTTAAAAAAAAATAAAATAAAATTCCTCGGGCTCTCTTTTCTGGGGGAATCGAAGTGTCGTAACCAAAAGCGCACACGGGGTAAACTCTGCCCTCGGTATGACTCATTCTCTCGCAGCCCGGTTTCCAGAGAGCCCGCACTGGTATCCGGGAGAGCGGGAAGGAAAGTTCGGGGTGGGAAGGGGCCGGGGTGGCAGGCGCACACGCCGGGACGGGGAGGCAAGCGTGCCCCCGGGGGGGTGCAGAGCGAGCGATCGAGCGTACGTGCGTGTGTGGTTTGGAAGGGAGTAAATAAACACCTCTACGAGCACTCCGTGCCCGGGCAGGCGGCCCAAGTTCCCAGAAGGCTCGGCCTGGGAAAACGGCGGGGAAGGCTCGCGGGGGCGCGAGGTCAAGTCGGGGCGAGGAGGCACCGGGAGAGCCCCGGGGGCGGGAGGGGTGTGTCGCGGCCTGGAGGCCCGCCAGGCGCTGGAGGCCCG